CACACACACACACACACACACACACACACACACACACACACACACACACCCGAATACACGGGAGCACAACTTTGTTTGCACCAACCAAACAGTTTCACTTCAGTCGATCGTTCGCAAACGCGGAACAGTGGTGGGATGGTGATGGGCAATGCTGGTACTTTTGCGAACCGTATTTAAAATCACGGTGCCGCCACACAAACCGCGAATCGGACTACAACCCCCTATTCAGTTTTTCGCGTTCATTTCACACTTTAGTTTATCTATTCAATCCGCTATTTCCCTCCACACGCATCGATTGCACCGTGTCACCGGTGAACATGAACATTGAACACGCAACACACGTCGATTTATTCCGAAAGTAGAAAATTACAAAATTCGCTGTAGTTAAAAATAGAATGGATTTTATTTGCTCGGCTCTCGGCCATCTCGGCTATTGTGTTTGTTTGCGCTAATTATATTTTTTGTTTGTTTCATGTTTGCGTTTTAAGCTCGGCGCTGCCACCCGTTTTTTGTTGTTGTTGTTGTTGTTGTTGTGCTCTGGAAGCAAGTCCAAACAGGCTCGTTGATGCGATATTTCGAATGCAAGTTTTATGTTTTCAAAACAATCTTACATTGAATGGGTGGTTTTACTGATTTAAAGCTGTGCCGACCGAAACATGGTCGCAACACACGAAACGAAAATAAACACACACACACACACACGCGATGAACATTCACAGTTACGGCCACATCTCTAAATATATACACCTGCTGATTAGGCCACAATATCGCTAGTATTTTGCGATTTACAGTAAATTGGCACGTTACAATTTCAGTTCTAGCAAATATAGACTTGAATGTTTCAGTCACACTGATGGACTAAATGCCAGTCCTGCAAAACGACGAGTTGCTGGAAAACGACGAGTTTTTTTGTAATTTTTCGTTGAATTTAAAGAAACTAGCCATTCTTCTCAGTTGAACGCAATGGAATACATCAAATATATAATTTGAAGTAGAATTCGGAGAAATGCATCATTGCATCATCGAATTTCCTATTAATTCGAACGATTTTCAACAGTTTTGTAATTTGAACATTTAAATCTTTTGAGTAATTTGTTTTTTTTTTGCTTTTCGTTTTGATTCGGAAAAAAATTGTCGTTAAAATAATTTTTTTGACAAGTTTTTGAATTGAGTCGAAAAATCGGTTGAAAAAAAATTTGACTGAAATTCCTCGAAATTCCTACTAAATTCTTTGTTGTTATTTTTGAATAATTGAACAAAACACAATTTTTTCTCACTTTTTTTTATTCATCCTTCATTCGAAAAATGTCAAAAATTCACTTTAAAAAAAAATCTCAATTTATTTTCATCGGTAGAAATGATCGTTGTCCAGTGAAAATCGTTTGTTCGATGTTGATTGTTGGGGAAAGCCGCGACGAATACAAGTGGTCACATTAAATGTATCGCATCGACTGCGCGCACGATATGAACGCAATCGACCACATTCCAAGACTATCTGTGGTAAGCCAAAGGAAAAAAATGCATCGTCTTCGACCCGGTTGTCGAATAAAAAAAAGAGGCAACCGATGGCGGTGGCAAAGGCGAAGAAGAAGAAAAAGAAGCAGCGGCAGCAGCAGTAGCAATAGCAGGCGAGGGAAGGGAAAAACGAAAAAGCGAAAATATAAAAACGGATACCCATACATCGAAAATGTGAGCAACGAGAGCGAGCTCCTTATTTGATCGCATGTGCGGTTGTTGTGCTTGTTTTTATTTCTACTTATTTTGTGCTTTGCAGCGTCTTTCACCCCGCTTCGCTTCGCCGCGACAAGAAAAAGAAAGAAGGAAGAAAGAACGAACGGGAAAAAGAAGTAACGTAGCGAGAAGCGATGCTTCAAGTAGAGTAGAAAGAGAAGGTTCCACATCTATCCATGACACATCATCATTATCAAATAGAACGGGCGATGACGACAACTCGCTCACACTCGAAAGTGTGCTTCGGTTGGGCGCAAAAAAAGAGGAAAAACAGCGACACAAAACACATTCACACACCTCTGCAAAACATCAAAATGGTCCGTAGGGCGGGTGAGTGAGCGAGATAGAGTGAGCGTAAGTCTGTGCATAAACGCAAACGCACACACACACAGACTCACACATCCACGCAGATACTCCAGAGCCCCCGAACATTATGCGGAATTCTCACACGCGGTTACGAATCTTCACTTCCCGCCTCCACAAATCTAACCATTTTAAATTTTTCATTTTGGTCGCAATAAGTTCACCGACAAAGATGAACGAATGACGACGCGTACGCGAATGGAAAAAAAGTCAACAACAACAAAAGCAACGGTGGCGGTAGCAGCAGCGGCAGCAAAAGTAGTAACAACGATGATGATGGTGAAAAACATAAGCAAAAATAAAACCAACATAACAACAATTGTGCTTACTTCTCTGGCACAAGCCAGCACGCGAAGCCGCGAGAGCATAAAAATGTCGACAGCATAAAATATTCGGCGAAAAGGCAAAGTATGCTTTGCCAGCCCAAATAAATGACGAACAACCATTATTGCGAAGAAAAATCATTTTTCACAAAAATGAAGCAAAAATAACTGCGTTAACCGAATTGACGTTGGAAACATATGCCTCACACTCGTCTCGTTTGCAATCGAAATATAAATTTTCATTTGAAGCCTGATGAGCTGCGTATCACCATGTATACCGCACTCAGCACACCAAAATGCAAAAGTATTTTATGCTCGATGCTCTTTTTTTCCTCTTGCGCGATAACAATAAGTTCAAATGCTCGCACAGAGCTTGGGCGAGTGAATGTCGTGCGCATGAAATATAAATATACGAGCGAAACGAACGAAATTTTCTTTTTATTTTCATTCATTTTGAATGGATGACTTCCCCTCGCCTTGCCGATTCGTGGTGCCCACCACGTTTGCGTTCATTACAAGCAGCTCGTTTGGTCGAGGCATACCAATCTTTTGCGGCCAAATATTGTGGTACCAAAGTGGAATAAACGTAAAAGAGACAGCAACAACGACGACGACGTCGATGACGGCGACGACGAGGAGCAAAGGGATTGGGGTTGGAAACGAACCAACAAAAAACATTCTCCTATGTATGGGTTTTTCTTTGGCAACAAGCAATTTCTCTTTTTTTTTTCTCTGGCCAACTTCAAAAGACAGCACTCCATATCTTATTCACCAGCTCCTTTTCAAACCGATGAAACTAAAAAAAAGAGCTTCCATTTTTGGCTTCACATATTTATTTGATGCCAAAAATGGTAGAGAATAGTATTTGGCGATTTAGTGAATAAATCACAATTTTACCACCTACAAAAAAAAGCGAAGCGAACGATGTAAAAAGAAAACACACATATATACGGTACAATCAGGATTGACGAGCGAAAAAAGATGTGCCGGTGAATGTGTGTGAGCGAGTAGAGTGTGGAGAAATTCGATTCGAAAGAAAGCACACATAAGCCTCAAAATGATGATTGTAGGCGGAGTCTCAGTGGCTAACTCTTATCGGGCGAACGATGAGGATAAAAAATAAAATAAAAAGCGACGACGGAAAAATACACAGTGCGCTGCATTTATGCGGTACACATCCATAGTGTGTAGAGTGTGCAGTAGCGCAAGCCAACGATGAGTGCTCGATATATAGCGCACAATAAAAGTGCAAAATATATATATATATAGAAACAACAGTAACCACCGCCAAAGTAGTACATTTTTTCCCGGCCACATCGTCGTCGTTCGGTGGTTTCTTTCGTGGTATGCCACGACGTCCTCCGCAAACCTTAAACGTCTTCTTCACTCCGACTGAGCGGCCACATACCAGAAAAAAAAACCAAATGATTGCGATAACAGCAACCCCGACAACCATTGCCGAACGACAACGACGACGACGTCGTCGTCAGTGCCAAGAAATGAGATCAGTGCACGAAGAAAAACGCCGCTCATATCAGCACGGCGCGCAAGCAATCGGAGAGAGAAAAATGTGGAAAACACATTACGGCGGCCAAATAAATTGATCCAAACGCAAACGGCTGTCGGTTATGGCGCACCATATCGCTCTTCTGCAATGATATTGCTTGTAAATTTAATGTGTCTACTTTGAAATCGGTTTTCTTCCATTTTTTTTGCTCTTATTTCGGTCGTCATGCGGCGCAAAACGTCTAACACTGTCGTTCGCAAGAAGTGACGCAATACCATTTTCTTCTCAACACACTCTTGGCAACAACAACAGCCCGGACAATAGAACAAGAAACTGTAGTCTCTTCGTTAGCAATTTCTTGCGCTCAAACTGTTGTGAATGAGGGGAAATATGTTGTACCGTCTTATTGTTGTTATTTTTCAATGGATTCTTTTGCTTTTTTTGCATAGATGAAATCCCTGCTCTTCCCCACATTCACATCTTACTACAGGATTTTTCTCCCACTGAACGGTTTTTCGGTCGTTTCTTTGCAACACAATGCATCTTCAAGTTGAAGGAGAAATTATTTTTCTGTTTTTTTTTTTCAAAGAAAACTAGGTGATGTGAATGTCTTTCCACAATACTCGTACCATTCTGTGGCAGTCGTTCAGTATGAATGGATGTTTCATTGCAACTTGAGTGCCTCAAGTTGATTGACCGTTTTAATTGAGTCGTGTCCTTTTCAGAAGAAATTGTTTCAATTTTCACTGTCAACGTTCTTTATCATTCTTCTTTATTCAAAAACACTTTTCAATTCGATTTTTTTCAAAAAAAAATTCTGTTTTTTTAGCATTTTATTACTATTGCAGATTCTCCTTCGAAAAATCCCCGAATCCCATTCCAAAGCAAAATCGTTGCATGTTGAATGTTATATGTTTTAAAATGTTATTTATACAAAAAAATTATTCAAGACCCATAAATCTGGCGGCTTTAAACAATAAAATATCAAATATCGTACAAAAAGTGCGATTTCATTTCAAAGTAAATGACATGAAACATCACATTCGATTCATTTGATGCATTCGAATGACGATGGCGAAGGCATTTTGCAGTAGGTTGTTTGTTTTCACTCGATTTTATTCGAATAACAATCTGTATCATCCGAAACAGTTACAGCTCCCATGTGTGTCGTACGGTTGAAATTTGTTGCAGCATTTTATCTAAATGCTGAGTGCCAATTTTCCGGCAATCGAGACTCTCGGTCGAATAACAAAAAGTGTGCGATTTTTTTATTCATACAGAAGAGGGATCTTGAGAGTGAGGGAGAGTTGTAGTTTTTTTTCCTCTCGGTTGAAAGTCGTGTTTGGGTCTGATGCACAAATTTTTCGGTAATTTCGAAAATCATCAAAACAAATTCATACAACGAAAATTCGGAGCGATAGCAGGTGCTTAGGCGATAAAACGGGAATTAATGATACGAGTCGGAGATTCACTTCTGCTTTCAAAAAAAGGAGAGAAAAAAAATGCAATGGTTGCCATTAAATAATGGTTAGCCAGTAAGGTTTTTACAAGTGAATTGAATCCAATGGAAATTAAAGCACACATAGTGCTCGTTACTTTTTGATTTCCGCTCCCATGCTAACATCACATGTTCTATAATTATATTGTTCATCGCGCACCATAAAACCCACATCACCAACAAATTAGTTATTCATGTTAAAATGAGAACAGAAAAAACAGATTTTTCGAAATGTGTTTGTTCAACATGAAAAAAATCAAAACGAAAAAATGGAAAATCTTTTGGTTCAAAAAAAAAAAAAAAATCGGGGCTGAGCGACTTTCAACTTTTTGCCACCCTCGCATAAAAAATGCACAGTGAAAGCAAAATCCACGGTCGCCGACACAAAATTCACGGTCGATGTGCTCGGCTTCATTTTATTCCGTATCTCCAGTGGGATCGATTTTATTGAAACATTAAGATGGAAATGAGATGATATTGAAATATTTATTAGTATGGCTGTGTAAGCACATGTGAATTTTGTCTTATTCGCTGTCGTTGACTTTATTCAAGGGTACAAACATTCAAGCTGACGGTTTTTTATACAGCTGATGTTAGAAATGATTGGCGGTGGAATGATTAAACCAGTGAGCATTACTGTTTTATCAGGCAAATTCACTCTTTTTTCGGAGGGCGTTTTGTTTTCACTTTTTATTGCTCACATTTTTGCCATAAAATGTCACATTTCGAATCTAATGCACGGTCCATGCGAAAATATGGCATCGTTTATTACATCTGATTGCAATTTCGATGTTGAATATTGCTGCTCGACCGCTGCATTTCGTTCGCATGAGATATAATAACCGACACCACTTTACTTTTATTGAATGTGGATTTACTTTTCGCATTTTTTTTTCTTTTTATGCATTGAATAGTATCACGGAAAATATTAGAGTAATATCAATGGTTTCTAATGGCCTTTGACGGTGACAATGTTAGCGAGAATAAAGCACAAGGATCGACGTGTCGCTTGTTAAAATGTCTAACGAGACAAAGGAAAATAAAAGCAAAACTTTGGTCACACGCTTCGAA